CACTTTATTTTCTACTTCAAGACTATTTACAAGTAGTCAAATAATTCTTCACATGCAAAAGGTAGTCTAGGAGACATATACCTTCTTGTATGTTAAATCACAGGTACATTTTGACAATATATTAAAACATCTGGAATATTTCTTTTTACTAGTAGGGTGCAGAACACACACATTATGTTAACCCATACAAAAAGTCCAGGAAAATAGTACATTGTCAGCATTAATAGGAACAAAACAAATAGCTAAATTAAGTACATTAATTTTGTTCTAGCAGTAGAATTTCTTGTATCGCTTCTGAATGTTTTCTGCGTTTAGATTAATCAGTCCCATAAATATGTTCAATCAAAAACAGCATTGTCCTTGCTATTGATTCTAGGCCAATAGCAATATCAGGTCAGTACTGCTAAGGATTTTGCTAAAACATCTTATTTAAAAGTATCTTCATGATCTTCTAAGTGTCATATATTATCTCAGAGTATGAGAAGTCTGAGGTCTAACAGGAGTGTCACAATACTTTTCTAGATTAGTAAAATCAATATTTTGAATTTTCCTAAGTAGCATCATTTCATAAATGCATAACTGGAGCCCTGAAGATCTCGAGGATATGCTAACAGAAGGAACATGAGAAATATACAAGAGGTCTTCTTCTAAAGAACTGCTCAGTTTGCTTTAGTTATATGAACTGGGTATCAGGAATTATTTAGGAACAAATACACACACACACACACACAAATGCATTCCATAACAACTAATGAAAAAAGAGGCAGGAATCTGAAGGAGAACCAGAAAAGAGTTTATGAGAAGATCTACACCAAGGACCAACCTTGGCTTGGAGAACAGTTCTGAAAGAAGTGGTGTCTTCTTTCAAAGAAACAAATGACTCAAAGTCAAATCATGGGTCTAAGCTGGCTGCCTATGCTCTACTAGATTTAGTTCTCTAGCCTTCTTCCTCTCTGATCTGCTTTCTCCAGAGATCTTTAGACAGTTCTCTCTCTGTTTTCTGCTCAAGACAGTTCTCCAGGTAGATCTCTCTTTCTATTCTAAAAACTTCTCTGGATAGCTCATCTCTTACAGATCATAAACCTAGTTTTTTTTTTATTTTACATATCAATTCTATCTTTATTCCAGGTTCACTTTTTGATTATCCTATAAATCAGCATCTCATGACCTCAGTCCCTTAATTCTTTCGGGACAGGGAGCACACATTTTTGTTTAACATTTCAAAAGAAATTAAAAAGAAATCTGTTTACCTCTGTTAATCACAGACAATAAGCTAGCTGGGTGGGATCCCATCCTGAAAGTACCATTTCTACAATTCCTGGGTCTCTGGGTCTAACCTTGCTCTGTCCCAGGCTGACCCTGAACTTGGCAATTTGTCTATCTTTGTAAAACAACAACAACAACAACAACAAAACAAAAACAAAAACAAAAAAACAGCTTAGCTGAATAGAATCTCCTGCAACAATCACCACTCCCTAAATCTTTTTATCTCCTTCCTTAGTATCTTTCTGACAAGTTGGCTAATAGTATAGTTGCCTCTGTTTCTTTAGATTTCTGATGCCCTTCATATAATTCATATTGCATCCTTATTTTTTGCACAGTTGAGAAATTATTTGGTTTCAAATTCATGTTTTTAGAGTTCTTTTCCACAGCCTTTAGGGTTGTCCTGAAGGTCCCAGTGTTTATGATTGTGCTAAGACATTAGCCACACCTTCACCTCCCAGACTCTGCTGTATCTGATTATCATGGAGTCATTTATGTTAACTGGAGAACATTTCTTAAAGAAAGAATGTAAAATATGTACATTATTATACAAACAAGCCTTATGCCCTTGGCCACCAGCCACACCCTTGGAGGCCCATATCTGCTGGCCCTGTCCCAAGGGCAGGAACCATGTCTTCATTCTCTCCTCACCAAAGCCATACCAGACCTAACAGGTTTGAAGGGAGGAAAGAGAGAAATATTATAATTGAATTATAATCTCAAAAATTAGAACAAGACAAAGTGTATAGTTTAAGAGTGAAATCGAGACTCTATTAGACAAGCTGAATTGAAGATCAGCTATAGCACTGCAAACTAAAAAGGTGACAAGGCCTCAAACAGTGACAGGGCTTGGTCAATGGGAACACAGAGACACTTGGAGAAAAAAGTGTCAAAGGAAAAGATTTCATTTTTCTTTGTCCACTGGAAAACAAAGTTGGTTGGAATATAATGTAAGAAAAATTAAGAAATCAACAAATGGCCTAGCTTTAGTCTGTGTTGTAAAATGTCTTGAATGTCAGATTTTTTTTGGTCTGAGGACTGATATACACTGAGTCAGGACTGAGTGAATACTAGTTTGACAAGAGTCAAAACTATCAAGGGTGAGAGGATAAAACTATGGAAGCACATGATAAATACACACTAACACAACTGTGGTCCTGGCTGAGAAGTCAAAATAAAAATAGAATCAAAATCAGAACTCTGGGTTAGGAAGCCTGAAACCTGCAGAGGAGGGCTGACAGATAAACAAAAACTACAGGATGTGGAGAGTGCAAGAGGAAGTCCATCTGCAAGAGTGGGATGTAAACTTCTGAGCTGACTGTTAGCAAGAAGGCCAAAACTGTGGGAGAGAGAGGAATCTGAGTTTTCTCATTTGCTGCTTTTACCAAATTCAGGAAAATACATTTGGGATATAAGATTAATGAAAATGATAAAATGCTTGTTATTTTTAATTACTTAACATCTTAAATATGGATCGTCTTATCTTTTAGTAGCTTAAATTACATAACATGAAATGATTACTTAAAAATAGTAAGTATGCCAAAGCATATATCCTTAGGAGACACAGGACACTTGGAACTAATTGCTATTTTATTGTTTTCCTTCTTACCTAGTAGAATTTGTCCTTTGAAGAGACATGGTGCTATCTCTCACAGCAGGTATGATTCACTCTGATCTTAACTTTAAAACAATACTGTCATCACTTCTCAAAAACTCCACTTCGTTCCATATTGCTTTTCTAAAATGTATCCAAACACCAAGAGTAAAATAAACAAGGAATATACTACGTCATTTAGAAGTGTTTTTATTCTATTCAAGTTTTTAATATTCTTAATCAAAATTGTTGTTTACATTCCTCTGAGATTTTTTTTAAACCTTTTATCTTAAGATAACAAACATATATATAAATATTTGGAGTTTTTTTAATTGATAAAACTAAAGAATTGATAAAACATGATTATATAGTCATGAGACTTCAGTGTGAAATATTGACATACGCACTCATGTCCCACAATCCATTCAGGATAATTAGCATATCCACCATATCAAACATACATTGTTGTTTTGTAATGGAAATATTCAAAATCCTCTCTGCTAGGTATTGTGATGTATTTTAGTAAATCATTAACTATAGTCACCCTACTGTGCCACAGAATACCAGAACTTAATCCTCTTATGTAAGTATGAATGTGGTTCCCTATTAGCCTCCTTCCTTACCCTTCTCAGCCTCTGGTAATCAGAATTCTACTCTCTCCATGTAGAGAAATTATTTTTTAAGGTCGAATTAAAGAGGACTGGTCTGACTACATACTCAGAAAAAAAGACTGTATCTGATGGGGTTTCTTCATCTGTTACTGTTTGTCATCTAAAACTGTTTCTCAAGGTCATTACTCTAAATCAAACAACAAATTTGGAGCTTTAAGAATATTAAAGCTTGACTAATTATTAATGGGGTCTATTATGGTAAATTTAATAGGCAATTAAATTTCTTAGTTTTTTTTCCCCTTTCTAACCTATGTTAGCAGAGACATTATGAACCTTTTCTTCTTGGTTCATTCAACTGGAAAAAAATTAAAGTACATAAAAATACAAGACAAATGAGCTACTGTTACTGTTATTAGTGTTTTTTATAATTGCCACTTTTTAAAAGAGGAGTCCCCTGCCAAAGGAATCATAAAGGCTACCAATTTCTACTTATAGGAAAATGGATCTGTGGATATTAATGTCTCCTCCTGTCACCTCGTTTTATTTTATCCGGCAGAGTAGAGAGAAAAGCTAAACTAGGCAGAACAAATAGAACTTCTTTGACTTGTGTGACAGAAAATTCCCCCAGGTGGAGGTTCTCTGCAGCTGTAATAAATCTTGATTTAGAGAAGTATAATATGTCATGATAGAAAATATTTCATTTCCCTAAACTGCTGGAATGAGCAAACCTATAGGAAAACAATTGAGTGGGCTTATAATATCAGTGGTGATATTTAGAAATAAATATATTAAGGATTTTGTGAAATTAAGATAAGGACATAAATTGCAGGATGGTATTAGTGACCATGTAGTGAGTGTGTGTGTGTGTGTGTGTGTGTGTGTGTGTGTGTGTGTGTGTGTGT